TTCCATGCAGTGCCTTTTTTGGTTTATTCAACTTGAGCTGCTATATCAGGAAGAAAAAAGAGGTACACATCTTCAGCTTCTATTTACATTGGATGATATCTGCACTTATTTATCAAGACTAATTACAAAAAATGGTACCCTTGAGGTTGAGCTAATTATAAGAAGGCTTAGTTATGTTAAAATTACACATTGTTTCTTGAATTGTTGTAATTTAGGCTATTTAGCCAATTTATTTGTCCTTGAAAGGAAAGTTTCATTATTATCGATAAATATATAGTTGGATTTGTGAATTTGATTCATCTTCTTTCTCCAATTCATTATTTTCCTGATATGCTTTATGTTCTTTGTTACAGGTTGAAGGGTCATCATACACTTGCAGATTTGAGTTTCCATAATAAATTGTGAATGGATCGCCAAAATTCTACGACAAAAACCTGCCTGAAGAATATAGATATCATAGAGCATAGAACACATTTTCTGATGTATCTCATTCCTCCAAAAGTAATTCAAAGACACAAAAATAAATTTCCTCTGAGATTATCTATGTAAAAAAAAAACGCGTGTGTAAAGTTCGTTGTTGTTAAGTTGTTTTACATTCTATGGCAAATCCTTCTCTTCACTCATAAATTATGAGCCAAAGGGAAGGAAATTTTTCTTCTAGTCGCAAAACAAGTCCGGCAAATGGGGTGCAAAATCAACCGATCTGCAAAATCGACTTTTGAAGGCTCGGCTCTACATTTCAAATATAAACAGATGCTCGAGATCGACTCGAATTTCATTAGTTCGAAATCCGTTCGCGTTCGGCTCGAATTTTTCATAAAAAGTTTATTCAAATATGATTTTGTCTCGAGTTTGACTTGAACTTTGCTCGAACTTGGGGCATTTTGATGAATAATAAATGAGAAATGATATAGGTACATAATATTGTATATAGGGGTGTACATAACACCCACGTTGAATGAGATCTACCAAAAATAAAAACTTAAGTGGACCAAACTTCATGTGAGTGTTATGTACATCTTTATATACATTTATTATGTACTTGTAGCATTTTCCACAATAAATTATACTTGTACTTGAGCGGCTCGTCAAACACTCTAAAGTTAATAACATACAAATTAGGTTATGCTCGAATTTTTTCGTTAAATAAACAATATATATGAATTTTTAAATATTGCTATTATTTTTTAATTAAATAAAAAAAAGAAAAATCACTCGGCTCTAATTTAAGTTTAATAACATACAGATTAGGTTATGGCCGAATTTTTCTTTAAATAATAGTAGTATATCATTTTCAAATATTACTAATATATTTTGTAATTAAAAATATTCACAAAAGTTAATGACATACAGATTAGGTTATGCTCGAAATTTTCAGATAATGCTTATATATTTATTAATTAAAAAATCACAAAAAAAGTTAAGTCTGTCAGACAGCTGCCAGGCCATCTTGGCTCGCCCAAAGCCAACCAAGAACGATCCTCTACTGACCCAATGGACCCACGACAGAGCCCAAAGGGTCTGTTAATCACGCTCTGGCCGGGCAGCCATAACTCATCCACCAGACTAGGTTAAGTTGTCTCTTTATATCTCAAGGATAAAGAGGTACGATCCTATAGAACAGATCCTGTTCAAGTAAGGTCGTACTCTTCAGTCTTAAGAATTTGTCTTATATAAACTGGTTTTCATTGTTGTTTCGCCGATGTGGGACAATGAAGTGAACTTGAGCTATTCACAGCTTTGATAAATAAAAGCGCTTGTTGTATCAAATGACTTCAAAATCCAAAAGGTTCTGGTTGTCTAATCCGTCGCTTTTTCCCATTCTTGGGCATTTTAGTACTTTCCGTATTCCTGTCAAAATATATTAGATAGTAGTATTACGTTTTATTGAAATTGATGAAAACTAAAAACTCGGACTTCGTGCATCGTGCTACAAGCAGCAAAATTAAATTTAAACAACGTACGAGGAAATTAATTTCATCAACTAACTGATAATATATGTATATATATATATATATACACACACACTACAAGTTTTGATATTGAACTATTTCGAGTCTACATTTAGATGTGTAGATTAGAGATCATGGTGTAGGCTACTTCTTCTTCTTATTATTATTATTATTATTATTATTATTATTATTATTATTATAATAGCAATTAATATTATTTAATAATTAGTAGCTTAGGGAATAAGTTAGGGTATTATTTGATGACTTTATTCAAAGGGATCTTAGGCTTTGTTATGGTTGATTATTGAATGAAAAATGAGATTGTGAGTTTTATCCAGGGAGTATCTCGTTTGTTTATCTTTTCCATTCGTAGGCTTCCCTATATCAGATCAACTCGGCTTGAAAATTATAAAAAAAGTTATATTAATTAAAATTAAGTATTAACGAATCAATTTATTGAAAAACTATATTAAAAAAATTATAATTATGAGATTTAATGAGAGCTCGATTCAATAGCTAAATGAGCTCAAATTTGATTCGTTTATCAAAGGGATCAAACCAAGTTTGAACAAGTCGAACTAACAAACGGTGAACATCGTTTAACACCTCTATCTACAACTAATAGTAATGTTATCTGCAAATTGCACCTGGTCTTCAATTGTAGTCACCAACATTTTAATTGTATTATAATTAATATTCTTCTTTATTTATTTTTTTGGGTTCAAAATAGAAAGATATATTGCACATATGTAGCTATGGTCCTTTCTTGCATAGCTAATGCAGATTGTTATGAATTTATGATAAGTTTGCAGGATTATATGGTTGGCAATGTTATGTTGCCTACCTTTTAATACTTAATTTCTCCATTAAATTGTGTTAAATTTAGGTACAACTCCACCATTCTTTCAATTTTCTATATTCTTTATTAATATCAAAGTTTTTTTAACCACTTTTTATGGAGTCCAATGCGATTTAGCTTGTATGACTCATTGAAAAGTGTATTCTTATATTATTTCATTTAGATTGAATCCACAAATTATAATGTGATTGAATCCACAAATTACAATGTGTAACATCAACTCTTTCATAATCCCATTTTTTCATATCACGTAGAATTACTTGGGGTGATATTTCATATAAGGTTTTTTTGTTTAGAAATCTCGCAAAATCTTAAAAGGTCTTAACAAATTCTAGTTTCAAATAAGTTAAATACCCCAAAATTTTTAAAGATCTTAACAAATCTAAATTGAATACACTAGGATTACTAAAATCTCAATATCATAAAAAATGTCAATTGAATATACTCCCTTAATCACGTCTAAGCATTTGTTGGTTTGAACTCGTCTCGAACAATAATTTATATAAATTTTAGTTAAAATTCACATTAGTAATTCCTTCAATATATCTTCAACACATTTATTTTTCACAACACTTTATTTTATTTTATATTTTACAACTAATTGGATTTGTAAATGTATCGTTAAGAGTTTGAGATTCTGATATCTAGCTCGACTCGTTAACTAAACAACACGACAAACGAGCTTGATGACAAGTCATTTGAAACTCAAACATTAACGAGCCGAGTCGTGTCCATAGAGAGTCGGTTATGTCTTGCAGCTCAACAATTAATTAGAGATGTAAATGAGACGAACGGAGCTCGAGTTCGAGCTTTTAAGCTCAGCTGATTAACTAAACAAGACATTAGTCGAGCTTGAATTCTGTTCGTTTGAATATTAACTAGCGAGTAAGCTTAAATTTTAATGACATAGACTGGTTAACTAAACGAGCTTTCAACACGCTCGATTTTAGGTGGTTTGAGCCAAAGTCAAAGATCCAATTGAGCGGTGTTGACGAATTATTTATTTCATCCAACAACACTAAAAGCAAACCTCTATGTTTTAATCCGAAAAACGAATTATTTATTTCATCCAAAACCTAGCTGTTATGATTGGTGTGTTGCTGGTTATAAATTGCATAATAATAAAATTATTTTTTAAAAGAATATCTATGTTTTTACAATGAACTATTCTTCGAAAAATTTAATCCGAAAAACGTATGTTAATAGGACATTGAATACCTCCCAAATGCTCTTCCCCAGACAAAATACTTCTTGATTTTGTTAAATCAATGGCGCATTGCTGCTTGAAAATGACATTTCTTAGTAACACAAATTCAACGAATCATACGCAGGTTACCTGAAATCTGTATCTCTATCTGTTTTCTTACATAGATTTGCTTTAGCTCAACCTGTTACCTGAGTGTGATTAAAGAGTCTTGAAAAGAAAAGGAGAAAAATTGCCATCGGATTTTTCATTAATTTCCTTTTTTTCTTTTCTTGTTTGTTTCACATTTTCTTGTAATTTTCCGGCGACCCCAAAGACTTGTGTTGTTTTTTGTTTTTTTGCTTTTTTTTCGATTCCTTGTTTTTTCCGTCCTTCTTCGATCTTCCAATTTCACTATATAATCGGAAAAGCTATAATCTTTCTGGTTTATTGGGCTCCATTATTGTGTCAATTAGCTGAAAGATACCATCTTGCTTTTTCTCTTTTGTTCGATTGTATAATAAGTAAAGAATAAATCAGTTAATGGCGAATGCATCTGGGATTTCTACTCCCACAGCGGCCGGCGTGGGGAGGAGATTTTCGCCGTCGATAGGCATTTATCGATCTGGGTTTTGGTTCTCTGAGGGCGTGGCCAGGAGAATAATGTGCTCCAGCTCTACTCAGAGCGACAAGACGCTCTCCCCTTCTGATTCGAGAGCTCCTAGGTAAGTAATTGCTCGGAAAATTTCGCTCTTTCGATTTTTTTTCTTATAAAGTCATTTAGTGGGTTTTAGTTGTCTGTGGCCTTTTCTTACCGTGTTAATTATTGATTTTTTTTTTGTTCTTTTTAATTTTGTGAAATATAGCTGCTCATATAACATCAAGGGGTTCTTTAATAGCAGAGAATTTATATCCTTTTTTTTTTAATCAGGCAGTAGCTTAGGAATGGAGCNAAAAATCGTGTGTATGATTAATGAAATCCTAGCAAGCTACCATGTTCAGGCAGACGACAAGATCCTACATTTATAGCTTCGATTATTTGATCTGCTAAATAGGATTATGGTCTAGCCTGTAATCTTCATGGCATTTGTTGTACAATATGATGAAATAGTTTTAAATAATTTGAAAAACTCACTTGTATTTTAAGTTATACATTAAAATTGACTGCATCTAATACTATTGTGCTTATCATGTCTCTTCATTTATGTGAAAATTGTTAACTTTGAATTTTGCATTCAGATCCCTTGCTAATCTTGATTAAAAATATGTAGGCTCGTAAGCCGAGGCTGCAAGTTAGTTGGATGTGGGTCTGCTCTACCGAGTCTCCAAATATCCAATAACGACCTCTCGAAAATTGTCGATACTAATGATGAATGGATATCAGTTCGGACCGGAATTCAAAATCGAAGAATACTTGCTGGTGTGTGTTTCAGCTTTTCTCGAGAATTTTAAGGTTGCGACTGCTGCTGATGATTATGTTCGATGTCCTAATTGCCTGCATTTGAAGAAGTTATATCATTTGCCTTTAAAAATTTATCCCTTTTTTTGGTAGATTCTTGTAAAATGTTCTGTTTTGTTTTGAAATTTCAATTTGCCTTTACAATCTAAGTTTTACATGCCAAACCTGGCTTTACTTTTGCATTTCGATTTTTTTGCAGGGAAAGATAGTCTAACTGGCCTAGCTGTAGAGGCATCACAGAAAGCTCTTGATATGGCGGGGCTTAGTCCTGATGACGTGGATCTCGTGCTATTGTGTACTTCGACTCCAGAGGACTTGTTTGGCAGTGCCCCACAGGTGAATTTACGATTTGACTTTTCTGAATTAATTAGAATTTTTCGCTGGTTTTCTTGGGTTTGGTAGAAGTTATCTACCAGTAAATTGTTGCAAACTCAACTATGATCAAATTTCTACTAAAGGCAATCTTTTCTTTCTCTTTTCTTCAAATGCCTTGCAAATTGGTCTTGAGAATAGTGATATTTGTTTAGGTTTATGCTCCTTCACTGAATTTTTATCTTCGAACAGCTTCAGATTATTTCAAAATCAGTTGGTTAAAAAGCCAATCTTTTCTTTTGTTTATTTCTTTTTGTTCTTCATTTGTGTTTTTGGATCATTCACGAACAATAACATGTGGCAAAAACTCAAAAGGTATTTATTTCTGGTAACTTTTTCTCCAGATTCAAAAGGCACTTGGATGCAAAAACAACCCGTTAGCATATGACATTACTGCTGCCTGCAGTGGTTTCATTTTGGGCCTAGTTTCAGCAGCTTGCTACATTAGAGGTGGAAGCTTAATCATTAAATCATCCGTATTGTGAAAAAAAGCAGAAAAAAAGGCATTCTTATTATAATTGATATATTTTTTAGGGGGTGGCTTTAAAAATGTTTTGGTGATTGGGGCCGATGCATTGTCTCGCTATGTCGATTGGACTGATAGAGGATCGTGTATCCTCTTTGGTGATGCTGCTGGTGCCTTTTTAGTACAGGTCATAAAACATAAGCAAAACCTTATAAATAAAAATATTTAATTTTATCTTCTTCTTACAAGTTTTGTCCGGTTTTTCAAACTTTTTTATTGGCTTTCTTGATCAGTATAAAACGTCCCGGTTAATTAGTTTATTTATTATCTGTTACAATTTATAAATAGTTAAATACTGATTCTTTTATTTATTTTTATACTGCAGGCATGTGACAGTGAAGAGGATGGTTTATTCGCTTTCGACATGCACAGTGACGGTGAAGGGCAGAGGTAATTTTCGTAAATCGATTCGCGAGACTATTATATACGTTATCTCTAAACATGACATTAATCTCTAATTGA